AGTTTACAATAAAAGCAGCTTACACCAGTGACCGTTTATTTACGACAGTATCATACCACTTCCTTCTTACATAAACCAGCAATGAATATTTAATGGACAATCATGACCTGCTACTAATACAATTGTAGTTATGGCTAATAAATGCACCATAGATCATATAAGTGCAAGTTTACAACAAGGCTGCTTACACCAATGACCGTTTGTAACTAATTATTTACAACAGTAACATACCACTTCCTTCCAATTATTTACATAAACCAGGAATGTATATTTAATGAACAACCATGACCCGCTAATAGAATTGTAGTTATGACTAATAGGTTTAATAAACATCTGAATATATTGTTCTATTGTCAACATTAAGCAACGGTTTGTAATCACGGACGCTGATTTAAGATAAGACACCGGAGCAGGCTGCAATATGTCACCTTCACTAAAATGTTTGTAAACAGAAGTAATATAAAAACACATGAGAGAAAAGCAGAAGGCAAGCCAAGATGCTTGGAAATCGTTTTCTTAACAAGTGGAATCCAATTTCATCTCATACCTGAGGTGTACCACTGCATTTCCATTCAACTGAATTAAGCTCTTCGATGGTATAGTCAGCGCCATGTTGAGGGTGGACATACTAAATGAAAACAAACACCAGATAATGCAAGTTTGAGTCACTAAGATTGATGAAACATGAACCCAAAATATTCAATTCCATAATACCAGTAAACTGTTCAGAAAGAACTACTTCAAGTTATAAGATCTTGTTAACAGAGATCAATAGATGGTTTTACATCAAATCAGCATAGGTATAAATTAACAATTTCCAGGTATCACCGATGTGAACAATATTCTTTATGGCACAGAATCATCTATTCGATTTATCATGTTATTAATAGCAAAAAATCAATAACATAGCTACAGTTTATAGCTCACCAAAGGTCCAGCAACCTCCTCCATCTTCTCTTTGTCATATAGCTGCTCCACCAGAGCAAGAGCAAATTCAATTGCTGTTCCCGGACCCTGGCTGGTCACCACATTTCTATCCACCACCACCCTGGAGTTCACAGGGATCACTTCAGCAGTGAACTTCTCCATGAATGACGGGTAGCAAGTCGCCTGAAGTAACAAAGCGCAACAACAATTTTGTGAACACAATTCATCTTTCCAACAAAACCACCCTCACAACAGTCGACTGATCGTAATTCCTAAACGTTGATCAGTTATTCACCTTTAAACCTTTGAGCATGCCCCAATGGGCCAACGTCACTGCCGGCGCAGCGCAAATGGCGCCGTAGAGTCCCCCCTTCTCCGCATGCATCTTGACCATCCTCTCGAGTACTTTACATTCTCTAAGATTAACTGACCCCGGCATCCCGCCCTACACCGAATTAAGCAGCAATATCAGATGATCAGGCCATGTGTATCAGCATCTTGATGTTACAGCGAGCGCGAGCGCCAATGAAACAGTTAGGCAGACTAGGCGGTTGTTGATTGATTCAGGCAAAAAGGTTGATTTGGGAGAAGATGGAGATTGTGGTCGGAAAGGGGAGTGGTGGACGCACCGGCAGGGCGATGAGGTCGAAGGCCTCGCCTTCGAGGTCGGCGACGCGGCCGCCGGCGACGAGCTTGACCCCGTAGGCGGCCTCCACGAGGAGTCCCTCGTCCCCGGCCGGCGCGGAGGCGACGGTCGCGACGGTGACCCGCGCGCCGGCGCGGTTGAGGACGTCGGCCGTGGCGGCCGCCTCGACCGGCTCCGTGCCGGCGGCGACCGGCACGAGCACCCGCTTGGCCGGGCGGGCGGCGGCGGCGAAGGCGCGGGAGAGGAGCAGGCGGCGGCAGGAGACGGCCCGCCTCGCCAGCGAGGAGACGGCTGCGGCCATCGGGAATCCGGCTGGGGATCGCCGGGCGAGGATTCTTGCCTTGCTCGGCGGAAAGGTGGTGCGGTGCGACGCGAGGAGAGTGGGAGTCTCGCGTTCTTGCTTCGCTTTCTGTTCTTCCGGGTAGTTGGGGCCGCTACGAGTAGCCTTGATTCTCGTTCTCTTCACCCTTTCTGAGGGATTGATCCCCGTTCTTGGGCTGCTGAGTGCTGACTTCCCGTCGCTTTTTCTAGATGGAAATGTGGTTGCCGTCGTGTGTGTCAGAGAGTCTTCTCGGTCGCCGTCGGTTTTCTAGATAGAGTAGTGGTAGTGGATCATGCGCTGTACTCGGTTGGTAGTATGCTTCTGCTTGTCGTGCAACTTCTTTTGTGGATGGATAACGATGAGTGAGTCCTATCGGGGGCAAGAACATGTGAGTCTCGCCTCAGTATCCATATATTTTAGAAATTTTAGAAGAAGGCTCTAGAAGAGCCCGGAATTAATAAAACCATCAACCGACATCAATCAACATTCAAACAAACACAAAAAGCAATAGGGAGAAAACATATTGTTGTGTAAACGGCTAACCGGCTTCAAGAAAACCACTAGCAAAGCTGAGGAAGCTAATGCACTATTGCATTGTGGCTAGAAGTTGAAGAAATCCTCCATAGCGAGCAGACCACCACGTAGGAACACCAACAAGACTTTGGGGAGGAACAACCCGTAGTTGAAGGGGCACCTTTGTCAGCTCATGAGCTCTAGTCGACTCATTGTCGACCTCCCCCATCTTCAAAGGGGCTCCCTGTTCCCTCGCCCTGCCACCAAGGGGGCCAATCCATTAAAAGATGAAGACGCTCACCCGAGGGCTAAGGTGAGAAGTGATGCCATTGCCATCCGGAAGACCAAACAAGGACACCATCACCAAGCTACGGCAAGCTCAACCAAGGGAAGCTTCGGCACTGGATGGCACCTGCATTGTCCAAGACATTGTTGAGAACATTCTCCCTCTCTTCTCAACATGACATATCTTGTTCAAATTCTCTCTCTTGGAGCCAACCGAATAAATGTTTTAACTCACAAAGATACTTTCACTTTCCAGAGAAACATGTACGGTAAAATCTCGCAATGCTGGATAGAAGGATACGTAGAGCTACTGGAAAAATGTCCACATCTAGTGAGGAGCCAAACCAACAAATCCTTATCTTCATTTAGATAAACCGAAGAACAAACAACCAAAAGTTTATCTAACTCCACTTTTCTTTCTCCAACCATAGCCCTTCTAAATATCAAGTTTCTTAAAGCTCTACTAAAAGCCTCATGCACTCTAATACTGTAATCGGAGAAGATGGCCTGGGAGTTTGGATCATTGAACTGCAAAAATGCATTCTCCTATCCATATGTCTTCCAAAAACCTAGTTTTCTCTCTCCTACCAATTTGGAATATATAACAACTTAAAAATATTTTCTTAACCTCCACTAGACCTTGCTAGAAAAGTGAATCTCCAGGGTTAGAGCTCACCTGACCAAGGTTCTTATGAGCCAAATACTTTTTAGTTAGTAGATTGTGCCACAAACCATTTGTATAAAAATGTTTCTACAACCACTTAGTGATGTGGGCACGTGTTAGAATGTGTAGGTAACAATGGCCAGATCATTCACTATGATGCTAAATTAACAGTTATCTTCTCTTTTCCTACTCATAACCTCCAATATATAATCTCCATCCGTGTATGGTGATACACAAATAAAGATAATGACCCATCAGATCAACTCGTAGGTGTCGATGTAACGATCAATCCTATGTCGTTGGTAGATTTTCTCATGGAAAATCATAGAAAATACACACACCCTGGTCACCATAGACTTGGGAGTTTTTTTGTATTTCTTCATAAATTCTCCAAAATAAACTCATATTTATAATGTTCATAGCCTAGCCATTAAATAGCCAACTTACGTTCCTTTCTGGAAGGAAAATAAACAAGGGAAATGCTTCTCCTCAATCCACTGATCATTGGCGCGCGTCGATCGCCTTCGCGGTCATCCTATAAGCCTTTGATCGTACGGTGTGAAACATCCTCCTCACCACAAACACGTGCTTTCAACATGGCAGGGGACTGGAGGCACTACAAAAAATACACTTTCGTGATGATACGTGTTTCTCACAGTAGGTCGCGTTTTTTGTCATGCATGTACATCCATGACGATTTTATGACAGAATCAAGATAGTCATACCTGTGCTGTCGTAGAAGTGTTCCATGACATTATCAAAATATCATCACGAAAGTGTCCACTTCCATGACGATAAATCGCGCATCACAGAAGTGCTTTCATCAAGGGTGACCGACACGTGGCATCCACCGTAACGGAACGCCGTTAAGCTATCGGGTCGGGTTTTGGATCCGATAACCCGTTAACAGCCCCAACCAATAGGGATTTTCCACGTGTAAAATCATCATTGGCTGGAGGAGACACGTGTCAGGTCCGCGTTGGCACAGGTGTCACTCATCCAATGGGCGAGACGCGCCTATGATATGTTGACACGTGGACCGGCCCATCAAGTTTAAATGGGCCGACCCAATTGAAGGCCCACAAGATTTTGCGGACCATAATGGACCGGCCCAGCTAAAGGCCCACGAGATTTTGCGGACCATAATGGGCTGGCCCAGCTAAAGACCCACAAGATTTTGCGGGCCATAATGAGCCGGCCCAGGTAAAGGCCCACAAGATTTTTATGTGCCACAATGGGCCGGCCCAGGTAAAGGCCCACAAGATTCTTGCGGATCATAATGGGCCGGCCTAGCTAAAGGCCCACGAGATTTCGCCGACATTAATGGACCGGCCCAGCTGTAGGCGTACAAGATTTTGAGGACCCTAGTAGGCCGACCCATTAACTGGCTTCCATGTTTTGGGCCAAATGCCGGCCCATATTTGATCTAGTCCATTAATGGCCTGCCATGCTCCGGGCCTAATAGTGGCCCATATAAGATCCGACCCGTTAAAAGCATACCACGTTCTGGGCCAAATTACGGCCCAGATCAGGTCCGACCCTTTAAGAGGCTCTGGGCTCAATTATGGCCCATATCAGATTCGGCCCGTTAACTGGACACTATACTTTTGGGCCCATTTGCTAAAGGCCCACTTAGTAATTCGGCCTGATATTAGTTTTGTCCTGTTAAGGGGCCGTTTAACATTTCGGCCCTATATTAATTTCGGCTTGTTAAAAGCCCTCATATAGTTGGGCCTAACTACGGCCCGGTTTGCATCCGGCCTGCTCGCAGCCGATATCTGATTGGGACAAACAAGGACCGAGACAATTTTGACCTGTTAAAAGCCTGTGATTTGATTCGCACAATCATGGGCCGGGGTTCATTTCGGGCTGCTGCCGGCCCGAGAGATGTTCGACACGTTTCAGGCCCAACCTACATCCTGATTGCATGACGACCCGATTATGTATCGTAATTTTACGGTTTGGCCGGTTTACTGCGAAGACATGATATATATACAGTAAAATAACTGCAGCATCGTGAATAAGAAAAAACCTAGACTATACAATAAAGAAATTACGACATATTACATCCACTGGGCAGCAAAGTTCGCCACTATGATAATAAAGCACAAGCAGACAACAGATTACATACACTGGGTATCAAAGATCGCCACCAGTGCAAATAAACACACCGACAAAATAATATACAAAACCGTCAGCACTTCAATAGAGTTCAAGAAAGGTTAGCCCTGCTGGGGAGCTGCAGCGCAAGCAGCTGAGCAAGATGATGAGACTGCGTTTGTTCAACACTTATATCTTACTCACTTTGAAAGATAAACAAGCAGACAGATGACAGGTTTTGCACATAAAAGTATCAGTGCTGACAATTCATCACATTTCTTACTGACGAATAAAGTGACATAGTTTAAAATTGCATTAACACAATATGGTATTGTTCAGGTCAAGACATGGCAGGAAATGACATTGGGAAGGAGTTGGCAGCTTCACGACACCACTGGATTACAGATCAAGAACTCATAAGTATCAATGATTAGTGTGCTGTCAATTTATACCATTTCAGATTGGCAAATAAAGAGACGGTTTAAATAATAGTAGAATGATATGACATTGTTCATAGTTAAGACATTGCAGAATATGACATTGTGCTGTAGTGGGTAGGTTCACCACACCACTGGATTACGGATGAAGAACAGAAGCATACATGCAGTGCAAAAGAAGATCACTTGCTCTGTATAGTTTAATTTACATGGTATGAAGAAGGAACTTGGTTGTACAACTAAAAACTTAAATTGAGAAAGGACAAACTTTTGTTTATGAACTACACAATAAACTTTAAACAAGCAATTTGATGCAAACACAAAAAATAAACAGCTGTTGCAGTCATGCCTAACCAAATATATACAACAAAGTTTGAAGGCTTGAGATGGACAAACTTACATTATTGGTGAAGACAGGCTCTA